TTTCAAACGGGCTCTATTCAAATAAGTTTTTTAGGGATCAAATAGAATGACTGCCGTAAATTATGTCAACCAAATATGTTTGTTCATTAGACCCTGAAAGTACTACACAAACATATGCACTCATATCACTTCATTACTGTATTATCGACTGGGAAAGACACTGTAAGGAACAATACTTTATAGTAAATAAGCTGATAGCAAACATATGCTATTTATTTACTTATCATTTAACAGTTAATGCTAAACACACACATTACATCCCAATGTCAATGTTGCCAATTATGTTGCTGTTGTTGGACGACGATATTTACTTAAAGTATAAGTTCTAAATTTTTACTGTTTTAGTTAAATGATCCAAATTATTTACAGAAAGGATGTATCGGCACTTAGGGCACGCACTCCTTGTAGGATATCTGTCTTGTCCTAAGTATCAATCAGTAAGCTGAATTTTTAGTGCTTACAGTTTGATACTTTTGAAACTCATTAATCGTAAACATCAGTTCTGTTACAAAAATGATAAAAAAAGAAATGAGAATAGGTAAGATGAAGATTGAGGAAATAATTAAAATTCGAAAAAATTTTAACATTGAAATTTAAGCAGATCCATTATTGAAAATAAGTGACGGATGAAGTGTGAAATCTCACCTTTTGTGAATTCAACTTCTTTTTCTATCATATTTGGGGGTTAAGTCTCTTTGTTTCACAACCAGTTATAATAAGCAATATGGTCGCAAATTCTCGTTAGTTATTCAGTTTCTCAACCGCTTGTTGAGGAAATGATCAAAAAACCTGATTAAGTACACTTGTCTCTTACATTTAACCTTTAAGTATCAAATAAATTAACAAAGTTTCAAATAATTAAAAATTAGAGAAATTTTTGATTAGATCCTTTTCACTGTGATAGCATATGATCGCAATGGTTCTTGCGGGAAACTGCTCACTGCATAATTGAAAAGGCATATTTCTTCATTATTCCTTATTTCCCACAGTATTCCTTGTGCTAAGGAATGACAGAAAATTCAAAATTTTCACCTTAAAAACCTTTAACTGGCTTGTCAATGCGCAAAAATACTCTTTTTACTCCGATTTTCGAGTAGTAGTGAAGTGCAAAAGCAATTATAATTTATTTTAAATTTGAATTAGTAATATTTCAGTCATCTATTCTAATCTATTTTGAGCACATTTCATACATCTCATTTTTTTGGCTTATTATTTACGTAACTAAAAGAAAAAGCCAAGCAGACATTTTACTTATCCTAAAATGAATGTGCTAAAGATAATTTCATTAAATACATTCATTGAGTAAATTGAGATGAAATATGTCAACAGCTAAGGGAAGAAATATGAAGAATTGCCTCTCTGAGCACAGCAGTAATTATCAACCAGTTGAAGTAATACATTCATTCCTCTAACATAAATTTGTTTTCTCATTTTGAAATGAAATTCTCCGAAAAGAAATTTCAACCCGTTTTTTGTTACACGATAATTAAAATGAGCTATATATATATATATATGCATATATATATATACTAGACAATTTGTGGAATTATCTTTATGAAGTAGCTAAATCTTGGAAAATGATCCTCGGAATTCTCTACTTGCCAATATTTACCAGTAATTCCAGCACTTTAATATTTATTACTTCAGCAGTTAAAATGAAAATTCTAGCAGCACAAGTTACCATAATCATCACACCCACTAAATCAAAAATTCAAAATAGCTTCAGTGACCGCCAACTTTCGGTTTATTTTAGCATTATCTAATGCTAGTAAATCTACAAAAACGTTTTTTATAAGGCTTCTTTTTATATTTTTCCATAATTTTATATAAGATTTTCTTTTATAGAGTTCAGTTTATTAAGGAAGTTGGAAAATTTAGGTAGACACCTGATGAAAAGTGAACATACCTGTTCCGGTTCCCTCCTTCATTCATCATATTCATTTGCTATTAGTTCTGGCATATTTATTCAGACGAGACATTCTCCATATTTCGTTTCATTTCATTCATTCATCAATTCCTTTCAAGCGTAATTTTTCTAATTCCTCAATAAATTTATTCATTTTGTATATGCTATGTTAAACCTACCACCAAACAATTTTACAATTTTAAAGCTTTGCTGAGGGAAAGCGCAAGTGACAGACATTTCTTGTTCGATGACCTGACGGCAAATATGTTCTCTTCCTCGTGTGCAACACTTGCGGTTATGGATAAATGTTTGAAACATTTGAATTTGGTATTTTGGACACAGATACTGAACCATACAAAATTTCTTCTGGTATGTCAGCTAGGAATTTCGTCCCTTTAACTTTAATTCGAAACTTATATTACTCTTACACCATCTGAGCCATTCAATCTCTGACAATCATTGCCACAACTAAATCTATTTTTTGTTGGACGAATTCGATAATCGCTGGTTTATCAGAAACCATTTGCTGAATGAGATATTTGTTCTAATAGAGCAGCGACATTATAAAAGTCTGTCTTGGTTTAATAGAAAACTACTTACAGTTGCAACATTTAAAATATTTGTTTCTTATGTGTCATTTGCTGTGAAATGCCACAAATTAGATGGATAATGAGAAGGAAGCAAATATTGAAAATATAAGTGAACAGTTGTACCTTACACTTCCGAGGATACAGATGCTTCCGCGGATACAATTTTGAATATTGATGAGGTACTTGTACAGACGAAGAATTGGTGCGAGGTGTATCTTCGTCGTAAATCGGAATCTTTTTTGACATAGTCCACTTCTTCTGTCATTTGTGTAGCATTTTTCGATTTTTTCAAGGTTTTTGAAGGATATTTCTCCAAATAGAATCAAAGATTGAACTTTGACCCCACCAAAAGATGATCGAATACGTTAGTACACGATTGATTTCATTCTCATATTTTCCTAAAATTCATATCGATCTGCTCAACTTTGAATTTCTGGAGATATTCGAATAATCAATAAATTCTTTCACTACCAATATCACTAGTTGGGATAAATGCCATTTGTACTTTAACCCTCTGCTTTCTGGTCCTTTACTGACTTTTGTATTTATGCTAATTAATCATGCCAAACTCAAGTTGTTGTTAAAAATAAATTTCCGCACTATCACATCTTATCCTTTGTCAAATCACAACACTCTTTTTCTTTTGATCTCTTCCATCCTTTTTTTTTTTTATTATACATTCTTTCTCATTTATACCGTATTACATTGCTATTCCCTTATCTCTTATCATTTTTTTAAACATATTCTTCTTTTTACGCATTATAATATCAGCCTTTGTGAGAAACAATTTTGTACTAATACTAGATTAAATCAACTTTCTTAGGGAAAGGTTAACTTTCCTTAAGGAGAAATCAAATGTCATTGAGAAAATAAATAAAAAAAAGCTCGTGGAAATGATGAGGAACTAGAAGTTAGGAGAAACGAAATTTTCAGTAGAAACAAAAGAAAGTAGAAAGAGTGATGAATAAGTCTTTTTTCTTTATTTAAGCAGAAAAAGCGGCGATGTTTTAGAGTAATGCTTAAAAATAGGAAATTGATGAAGCTTTTTCGAGATGACCGAAAAAAAACAAATAAATTTATCTAATCCATCGAGTCCGTATGATTATACTTTAGTTGAATAAGCAATTATAAACTGCGCCAAATGCTGCTATCTGCTCAGTCGAAAAATTCTATGAGAGCATTTAATTGCGCCTCTTCAGGCTTTAACGAATAAAAAATTGTTTTTCTCTATGGCACTTCACTTTTTAAACAATATTTCTTGAAAATTATCCTTTTCTTTCAAGTTTTTTTTTTTGAGTCACTTTAATTTAAACGAGAATTCAAGCACAAGCGAAAATTTTTGAATATAATGAAAGGAGAAAAATTTCTTTCTTTTCTCTCAATATATCATCAAATGAGGTATTCTTTGATCACAGTATCTATCTCAATAACACTTCACTTTCGGCACTATGAAATATTTATCTACCTGATAATCCTATCTATTAATGGTCCAAAATAACAATGAACCGCTATCTGGAGTTATACAGTACAGATAAGCCATTATCAGATGACAAGTTAGTATTCGTCACCAAGTAATAGCACTGATTATTAAACCAAAGCATATTGCCAAGAATCACGTGATATGATGATGTGATATGAACAGTTGTTAGTGAAATAATCACTCGTTCATCATTTTTTGCGGATAATTTTTACTGTCAGCTATACCGCAACTTATAATTCTCAACTAATCCTTATGCTTACTTTAATGATACGTATCTTTTTTCAAAAGTATAGATTTATATGCTTTTAAAAATATTGAAAAAGACTCATAGCATGACAGTTAAATTAGTTGCTAGCATCTGAAGTCAAGTATATAAGCAATGTGCGGGCATCTATTCCGAAATCAACACAACTATGAATATTAATCCATCATTCGTTCGTTCACTTTTGTCAAGTATTTGCTGGACGATAACACCGTACTAGTTCGATTTATTCAGTTTTTTTCTTACTTTTTTTTTTCTGATATTTTGGTTTAAAATTTAACTATTATGATTTTCTATTAGTGACAAAATTATGATTTAGAATTTTCTTTAGCAAACAAAAGGAACAGCTGAAGATGGTGCATTCCAGTTTCTTTTTTCATAGATTTGTCAGTAATGAGAAGCAAATATTGTAATTAAGTATCGGATCAGTAAAGGACACTAACTTTCTTTAAAATACTCTTTTTATTCGTATCTCAATCCTCAATTGATCGCTCATTAGCGTGCCAGCATTTGTCATTTGTATGAAAATAGCAATGATTAGCTATGTGTCGCTCTTCGAAGACTTGGCTTCCTTTTTTCTTTTTTTTTTTTAACTATAATTACGAGTTTCAGATTTTCTAACGCTCATAATCTGGTCATTATTGTCCGAAAAATTAAATTCTGACGAAAATTTGCTTCAAACTGCATTTGCTGACATCTTGTATTCGTGGTGAATCAACGAGCAGTCATACGAGGAATAAGTCCGGAAAATGTAACAGCAACGACCCGAATATAAATTCAACACCCCCGTCACACTCAAACCCGGTCGATCAATCCAGTCAAACTTCGTCTTTACAGCAAAAACGGAAACGTCTCATGCCACATTCGATTCTCAAAGACAGTTCATCTAAGCAACTCGTAGGTTATTCTTCTAAAAAACTACAAACAGTGTGTGTATTTGGTGTAATGTTTTAATGCAGAATTCTCATTCTTAAATAAACCTTTTAGTCAAAAATTTGCATAATTTTGAAATAAGGCGAAAGTTTGGGAATTGTTTTTGAATGTTTGCAATTATTTATCTTTTGATCCCTTATAACTTTGCCATCGAATTTATTGCCATTATCAAATGGTCTCAATCCATGTTTTGCTGCAACATTACCCATAATTAGATGATTGTTTAAAAATGATGTTAGTGCAAGCAATTTTAGACAATTATTCTATTATGCGCTTACTATATTGCTTAACTTTATCTGGAGAAATTTCATCTCTTAATATTTTGATAATAAAATGGCTTCAAGATTCTGTTTATTTCAATTTGTATTTCAGCATTATAATTTGTTTCACAGAAATTGACAATCTCAAGATACAATTTCATATCCTACAAAATTTAGAAAGCAATAAATTAAAATTGATCGACCATCTACTGCATTTTGCAAATAAGTTCAAAAATCTGTTTGGAGAGAATCTTCCAAAACGATGGCAATATTTAATTCAATAACTGCTGTTTGCATTCATTTCAATAGCAACTTTTCTAATATGTGATCTTGAAAATGACATTTCCGTTAATTTTCTGAAGAATTCGCCTTTCTCAATCAAATTTTTAAAAAATTTTCGACATTTGAGTTCGATTTAAAAGAAGAACTTATTTCCATTGTATACTACGATTTGCTTAAAGACAATGAGTAGGTTTATCGAACTCTACTGTAAACGGTTTTTTTTTTTGCTTTCTCATCTAAAAATACTAATTTCCTATGTTAAGGTTTTGTTTAAATTTCATTTTCATCTCAAAATCCAATTAAAATAGCATACCGATCCATTCAGCGGAACAAAAAGGAATTTGGTCTTTCAATTTATCAATATTTTTTTGATGAAAAATTAAGAGATAATATTGTTTCTATCTTTTTGTCAACCGAAATGTAAACAAAAAGAAAGTATATAGCTGATTTGGAAGAAGTAAAAATTAACTATAATTCAAACAATAATTGTTCGTTTAAATCCATACAAAAATCTTTTTACTTCCAACTTTACCCGCAACTTACCCATTATTTTCATCATGCATAGGGTGGGCAAACGTTTCGTGTGTATTTAATGGGATCCGAAAAATTTCTATATTATTTCATTTCCATTTGCTCTGTTTTCTTCCTTTTAATTATTCACAGATAAGAATTTAAATGTATTTGAATTTCAATTCGAAATTTCTCCAATGATTTTACACTCTCTAAATTTTAGTTTTCCTTCATCTTAACTTCCATTAACTTTTGTAAGAAACAAAAAAATTCAACCAAAAAAAAAAGAAATGGTATGGAATATGTATTATAAATTGGGCTCAAAATTTTGAGGTCAAGTTTTTCAGTCCTCACTGTTAGACTGATCGTCGTACTTTTTGTTCTTATGTCATCCAGTTTTCTTCTAAAGCACAAAACAATACCAAATAATTGGAACAAAGTCATATAATCTTAAATAACTTTGCTCAAAAATACTCACTTAAGTTGAATTTCACTTTTTTATGGATTTAAAAATATCAAAAATAGGACAATTATTCTTTTCTGTTTTTTCTTTTTTTTTTTCTTTTCAAATTGGTTCTACGATGAGATAAGGTAGGCAAAAGGAAGAAATGAAATTATAGGAAGGATGAAGGCACAAGGAACGCTTAATCAAATGATGTAAAAAGCCTGATGATATGCATATTAATTCAAAATGGTTCTACTTGAAAAAAAAAAAGAAAAGAAGACGAACAGCGTAAGTCTGTTTTTAAACAAATAAAAGAAATGCAGAAAATGACATGATAGTGATAAATTATTTTCTTTGTTTGTGATATTAAGTAATCAATCAAGTAAGCGAAAAAAATAAACTTTTTTTTTTCTCGAAAAGCAGCAATACGTGAACTAGGTCATGAATAGGTCATAACGCTTCACTTACTCATTTCTCATTTCCTTTTTTAAACTTATTTCGTCGGTATCTTTTTAAAGCGTTTTTGTGTTTGAAGGAAAATGAGAAAATATTTCCTTATTTGTTATTGACACAACTATTTTAGCTCTTTTGTCCCGTTGAAATGGAAATTATTTGGTAAAAGAGGATGTAATTTGAGGTCACTAATGCCTTTATCTGAATGTAATGTTCAAAGATATCAAATGATCATAGAGTATGAAGTCAAATTTGCGCTTTTCTTGAAGGTCGTTGTTAATAATTGTACTGCGTTTGCTATTCACGATATTATTCTAGGTTGAAGATGAATACGAATTAGTAACTTGACAATAAATTACAATATGTCAACGTAATCAAAATTTTGTTTAAAATTTATTAGCTCCACTGGACATTCCACTCTCGTCCGTTTTACTATGTCGCGGGAAAAAGATTAGAAAAACTAACCGGTTCCCGAAAGAGGTTGTAAATTTTGATTGCAATTCCACTTTTTTAAATGGTGCTGAGAATAATCATAATCATAACGATAATGATGACAATGGTGATTATAATAACTTACTTCACTGTCATCATTTTGGTCTGGTAATTACTAGTCAATCAACTATATTTGTTAACACAAACTTTCCTTCTCTACTCATCAACTCATAACTACTTATGCCTCTTTTTCTTTTATAGTGAATGATTTTCCTGCAACTAAATCTATGCAAATTTACTCTGTAGTACTATAACTGCTTCATAAATACTTTCAAGATAAGTTTGAATGCAAATTAATTAATATGAAAAAATCATCTCATTCATTTCTAGGGAAGAAAATCATTCAAACTCTTTAGTCCGATGATACGAGATCCACTAATTAGTATTAGTACATCTGTATTAACAAATTCTCGAATTGCCATTTTTAACTTTAAACACTAAGAAATTTTTTTTGAATCGAAACTTTTGCGCCATTTAGATGGATGGCATATGATAAGCTGACAAGCTATGGTATTTTATCGCACCTTCATGATAATATGCAGGTGGTAAACTGTGGTATGAAAGTTATCTGTCAAACGATACTGAAAACAATTACTTAAACAGTAATAATTAAATTCAAATTTTCTCTGCTACAACTTGAGTTAATAAACTCGATCGTTCTGATAGCAAGCATTCTTGGTAGTTATTCCAGTTTGATCGATTTTAATATTTAGTACTTTGGCCCAGTTGTTGCTGGGACTTCAACAACCACTCATGATAACAAACATGAGTTTGAAAAAAAGCTTGGAGATGTTTTTTTTTTTCGTTTAACTTTCCACACCTATATTTTCTGTTTCTTCTTTGTCCTGTTTCCGACTCCATTCTTGATTAGACCGGTTGTAAATTATTTTTATCTTGACTTCATGCTAATTCCTATTGTCATGTCATTTATTCCCAACAAAACTGTCAAAAGTGATAAACTGCGGAGAGTGGTGTCATATTCCGAGAGTCCTGTCACAATCATATCGAAACCAAATCAAAATGTTCTCAGCTGCGAAAAATCAAATTAGAGCTCACGACAAAGCTCATCTGTGCGGGATTGCTAATCAATTTTAGGAGAAGCCTTACGGAGAACTGCTTGACCCTCTACCCTCCTCCGCTCAAATGGTCACTCGGACATCTGCGCAGAATACTTCTTATACCTCCTCTCCTATAAAGTAGCAAAAATTTTTGGAATTTATTAAATATGTCAATAAATTAAGGCCATCATGGAACAGAAGTTCCCTTTCCTTTCTCTCTCCCTGGACATTCATATTTTTGCCCATCATCCCTTGCATTATGTGGAAATACACAATAACAGATAAACACACACATACATACATACATACATACACATATACATACACACATACACACACACACACGCAAATGAAAACATGCATAGACATACATGAACATATATTGAAAATTGAACCGATTGACGCAGACGCGCACTACAGTGTGATATCAATCATCGTTACCTTTGCGATTTAAATTAAAGATTGAAATTGCAATAATTTTTGACCTGGCGAGCTGTGCAGTTTGTTTATGGACGGCAATTTTAGTGCATTAAATTTTTTAAGGTAATAATGAAAATGTTGAATTGTTGTTAAATGAAGCAACGATTATTGTTCAAATAAACTAATTGGTTCCTTTTATTCATCTCTTTATGATCAATTAATTTTAGATTAATCATCCTTTTAAAAGTGATCTTATTTTAATTCATGCATTTACTTTTGTCTCTATTGATTCATTTATTGTTTATTTTATGGAGTAACTTCTTTCCTACGAAATTTTCAAAAAGTCATAGGTCAATAATCAAAATAATTTCGACAACAGGTTAGCAGTATTGCTTTGTGTCGGAGATTCCAATTGCAAATTTATAGGAAACTCATCGAAGTCGACGGTTGACAGACGGAAGTGGCAATCTGTCACCAACCAACATATCTACCTGTACTCGAGTATCGTTTGATCAGCCTACTATACCGACAGGTTTATTTCTATTACATGATTCATATCTACCTGTGTTTCATAACTCATTATTTTATCATAATATCAACAACACTTACATCACCTTTTTTTTCAACATTTCGTTTAAGAGTGACTCGTGCTTTACTTACTCTACCTGGTTTTAGAATCAATGCGATTATATTGACATGTTGACATGCCTAAGCAAAGTGTGCAATTCACACTTTGTTGTAAATTGCCTATATGCTTTAACAGCACTTTACAAATTGAAGGAAATCTGTTCAATTTCAAAAATTCTTTCGCTTTCACTGCCTTTTTAAACGCCTTATTTAAAGAAGAGATCTAATTGAATGTCTAGTGTTTTGCATTGAAAATTTCACCTAGCATTTTATCATTGATTCATTGACCAATCAAATTATTAATCAATGAATCCATAAAAAAAATTTAGTGATAAATTCATAAAATACAAATATTAAATAATTAGATTAAAAATGTTAAGCAACTAAATAATCAGTAAATAAATATAAATCAACCATTAAATTTGATATTCGTACTTCATTTATCGATTAAACAACTAAAACTTGTCTTGTTTGGATGTGTAAAATGAATAAACCAAATTTACCTTGAATTACAAACAGGTTCAGTTGGTTCATCAGCGTTCAACAGGCTGGCTGCCATCGGAGACAGCGATCTAGGGAAGACAAGCACTCTGCGCCAAAGACGTACCTCTCTTCCTGTCACTCCAAATGCTTTCGCAGCCAGTAGAGCTGCTGTAAGTTGCAATAAATTTGAACATTCTGTTAATTATCATTGAATTTCCTGTTCTAAAGCCATTTAATGACAATTACTTGATCTGTCTTCTTAATGAATAATTAAATATCGTCGGAGGAAGTAAATATCACTTTTAGTAAGTAAATAACTTTTTTTTATTGTTTATGGTTACTGTCTGAAATTTTTTACTGTTTAAAGAATCTTTAGTAAAAAGAAAGAGGAAAAACTGTTTTGTCCGCTTTACAACTTGCATTGCTTTAAAATTGAATTTGACTTAACAAAATTCGTAAAGTCATTGAAATTCTTTTCAACTTTTCATGTAGAAATATGAGAACTGATAGCTTGTTGCTTATAGCTATTACATCAGAACATTTATCTCACATCAAAATTTTCAGCTTACCTCAACTTTAATTTAGTTACTTTGGCTACTTTGTAAAGGAATTGGCATAATAAAATAAATGGCGAAGTAATTTAAAGTGCTTGAGGTGAATTTTTTCTGTACAATGTACTTTTTCCTCAGTTTTAGATAGACACTAACTTGAAATATTCCTTTTTTTTCCTCGTAATATTGTCATAATATTGTCGTACATAGTAGTAGAGAGCATGTGGTAACATAATCCATTGAAACTCTTTGATTTCCATTCTAAATTAATCTCCGAATATTTCCAAGGGAGAAAATATATTTCCAAGGGAGAAAATTTTCCGCTTTTAAAGCATCTTTTTGATGTTTCCTACTAATTATTCCTTTCTGCACTAATGTTTCTGTCCACTCATTCCATACTATCTGCCATATTTACATTCTTGAAAAAAAAAAAAAAAAAAAAATTAAGTGCACTCATTGTGAAACGTCCTCTTTTTTATTTTTTATTTTACTTTTTTTTTTCAGTTACAAAGTAATTTAACAGAAGCGCGTGGACTTGTGGCAGAAATGCTGGCCAACAAGGATTTACCACCAATGATTATTTCAGGATTAAAAGCAGTAGCCACTTTGCTAAATCCTCAACCAGTTCGCTTTCTTATTCAAATTTTTAAAGTTTCTACATTAAAAGATTCTGATCTTTCCACTGAAATAAATTTGTGATATGAACAAAAAATTTGCAAGCAAATATCAGTCCACTGACCGTTGTATATTTGACCATTATGAATATGACGATATCTTCCACTTCACATGCACGCAAAAAAAGAGTTATAGAAAAAAATGAAGATATTTTAATACAATCCTAAGTTTTTACAACACCAATTCTTTTCTCAAGTTAAATTCAAAATTACCATTGCCAACATACGCTTATACTTTCCCTTTCCCTTTTCAGCTCATTGACATTTTATCGAATATCTCAGTTGAGCTTCATCTATACATATGAGACAAATGATATTAATTTCTTTTTCCAAAATTTTCCTCTGTCACTTCTCCACCAATTTTTGCAATAATGTAAATTCTGCAGTGGTTTTTACTTCATTCACTGTAGATTTTATTGAAGTCTCCTCTTATCTGTTATAGATTCTGCAGGAGGTTCTTCTCTGCTTTCATTTTCTACTGCACGTTCTGTGGGGGATTCCCCTCTGCTTTCATTGCCCACTACAGGTTTCATTTGAAGTACAGTACTTTTACAAGTTTAGTTCATCTGCTCAAAAGTAAATGAAATATAAATGGATATGATTTGTGCATGTCGTATTGCCTATATGCACATAGCTGCTGCGTATTTGTACAAACTTCATGAATAGACTGCACATGCATGCATGTATTGGCAGATATCGTCTTTATAATTTCCAGAGGGAAAATTGAAATTTTTGGCAGAAAATGGCGAAAGAAGTTTTTTGTCCTTCCCTGACTAATATTGTTTGTAAATATGATAACTGTATAATTTTACAGCCATCGATCAATTTGCACTTCGATTTTGGTCTTCCAATGGTTGTAGAGAATCCATACAGTGGTGAACAAATTGTTGTTGCTGCGGTTAGTTTTTCATAATAGAATCATTTTCAGAAGATTTCAGATTGACACACAAAAGATCATCTTAGGTATCTGTTAAATTGCACACCTTCTTCAACAATGACACATTTTGTCACACTTTTTAATTCATAAGCTCAAACACATACTCCCTTTCTTTCTGTTAATCTGAAAAAAGCTTTTCATGAAAGAAAGTTGTCATATGCCTATCAACCATTCAGGCAATTATTTCATATCATGTCCACAACATATCAAATATTGGATTGTGAAAAAAATAACTTCTCCAGATATATACTGGAAAATTGTATACAATTTTGAAAGAAAAAGTTCTTAAAGGCATCAAATCAAAAATTCGAATATAATTTTTTTTCTTTTTTTTGAGTCATAGACTTTACAGTTTTCCTTTGCGTCTTTTAACTGCGGAAAAAAAGCGTTGTTATATTCTAATAGACAAACCTCCACAAAATTAATTATTGATTGCACTACTACCAGATCGGGACGATGAATCATTTATTTATAATTTAGGAATTTTGAAAACTGAATAAATTCAGTTTTTCAATTATTTAATTTCTGTCAAACACCTTGATATCTAAAAGGCATTATTTAACAAAAACAAACAAAAAGAGCAAAAGAATAAGAACGAAACGAAAAGCAAGAAAGGTAGAGAGTAAATGTTCTTACTTTTCCTTTTAAAATGTTCAAAAATAAATCAAAATCCATAACCAATAAAAATGGTCCAAAAATCAAATTTTCTCTTCCTTATCAGATGTCAGATGGACATTTATCATTTATCATTCTCATTTTAATCATTTCATTATCGTTTTTTGTTTCTTATAAATACTACTGTGAAAGCTTTTCCTTCAGATGATTCCTTTTCTTTAATGATATACTTTATTTGGTTTTTATTTCTGATAAACAAAAATTTGTACCTTCAAATTTTGTAAATCTTATAAAAGAAAGAAAATGACGTTATAATTAGTGAGGATATCGAATTGCATCCATAAAATTTTAGTAGTTTTTTGCTTACGTCACTAAGTTGAGGAGTGCACTGTTTCTGTGCTTATATAAATCCTGGCAAAGCATAAACATCCTTATATAGGCCTTAAAATCTG